AAGTTCTAAAGTCGCTGAAAGATTCGTGAAGTTCTCGAGTCGCTCGAAGATTCGTTAAGTTCTAGAGTCGCTGAAAGATTCGTGAGGTTCTAAAGTCGCTGAAAGATTCGTGAAGTTCTAAAGTCGCTGCAAAAATCGTGAAGTTCTACATAGAGTCGCTGAAAGATTCGTGAAGTTCTAAAGTCGCTGAAAGATTCGTGAAGTTCTAAAGTCGCTGAAAGATTCGTGAAGTTCTAAAGTCGCTCAAAGATCCGTGAGGTTCTAAAGTCGCTGAAAGTTTCGTGAGGTTCTAAAGTCGCTGAAAGATTCGTGAAGTTCTAAAGTCGCTGAAAGATTCGTGAAGTTCTAAAGTCGCTCAAATATTCGTGAAGTTCTAAAGTCGCTGAAAGATTCGTGAAGTTCTAAAGTCGCTGAAAGATTCGCGAGGTTCTAAAGTCGCTGAAAGGTTCGTGAAGTTCTAAAGTCGCTCAAAGATTCGTGAGGTTCTATAGTCGCTGAAAGATTCGTGAAGTTCTAAAATCGCTGAAAGACTCGTGAAGTTCTAGAGTCGCTGAAAGATTCGTGAAGTTCTAAAGACGCTGAAAGATTCGTGAAGTTCTAAAGTCTCTGAAAGACTCGTGAAGTTCTAGAGTCGCTCAAAGATTCGTGAAGTTCTAAAGACGCTGAAAGATTCGTGAAGTTCTATATAGAGTCGCTGAAAGATTCGTGAAGTTCTACAGTCGCTGAAAAATTCGTGAAGTTCTGAAGTCGCTCAAGGATTCGCGAAGTTCTAGAGTCGCTCAAAGATTCGTGAAGTTCTAAAGTCGCTCAAGGATTCGCAAAGTTCTAAAGTCGCTCAAGGATTCGCGAAGTTCTAAAGTCGCTCAAGGATTCGCGAAGTTCTAAAGTCGCTCAAGGATTCGCGAAGTTCTAAAGTCGCTGAAAGATTCGTGAAGTTCTAAAGTCGCTGAAAGATTCGTGAAGTTCTAAAGTCGCTGAAAGACTCGTGAAGTTCTAGAGTCGCTGAAAGATTCGTGAAGTTCTAAAGTCGCTGAAAGATTCCTGAAGTTTTATATAGAGTCGCTGAAAGTTTCGTGAAGTTCTAAAGTTGCTGAAAGATTCGTGAAGTTCTGAAGTCGCTGAAAAATTCGTGAAGTTCTATATAGAGTCGCTGAAAGATTCGTGAAGAAATATATAGAGTCGCTGAAAGATTCGTGAGGTTCTAAAGTCGCTGAAAGATTCGTGAGGTTCTAAAGTCGCTGAAAGATTCGCGAAGTTCTAAAGTCGCGGAAAGGTTCGTGAAGTTCTAAAGTCGCTGAAAGACTCGTGAAGTTCTAAAGTCGCTGAAAGATTCCTGAAGTTCTAAAGTAGCTCAAAGATCCGTGAAGTTCTAAAGTCGCTGAAAGATTCGTGAAGTTCTAGAGTCGGTCAAAGATTCGTGAAGTTCTAAAGTCGCTGAAAAACTCGTGAAGTTCTGGAGTCGCTGAAAGATTCGTGAAGTTCTAAAGTCGCTGAAAGATTCGCGAAGTTCTAAAGTCGCTCAAGGATTCGCGAGGTTCTAAAGTCGCTGAAAGGTTCGTGAAGTTCTAAAGTCGCTCAAAGATTCGTGAGGTTCTATAGTCGCTGAAAGATTCGTGAAGTTCTATAGTCGCTGAAAGATTCGTGAAGTTCTAAAGTCGCTCAAAAACTCGTGAAGTTCTAAAGTGGCTCAAAGCTTCGTGAAGTTCTAAGGTCGCTGAAAGATTCGTGAAGTTCTAATGTCGCTGAAAGTTTCGTCAGGTTCTAAAGTCGCTCAAAGATTCGTGAAGTTCTAAAATCGCTCAAAGATCCGTGAAGTTCTAAAGTCGCTCAAAGATTCGTGAAGTTCTAAAGTTGCTGAAAGATTCGTGAGGTTCTCAAGGCGCTGAGAGATTCGTGAAGTTCTAAAGTCGCTGGAAGACTCATGAAGGTCTAAAGTCGCTGAAAGATTCGTGAAGTTCTAAAGTTGCTCAGAGATTCGTGAAGTTCTAAAGTCGCTGAAAGATTCGTGAAGTTCTATATAGAGTGGCTGAAAGATTCGTGAAGTTCTAAAGTCGCTGAAAGATTCGTGAAGTTCTAAAGTCGCTGAAAGATTCGTGAAGTTCTAAAGTCGCTCAAAGATTCGCGAAGTTCTAAAGTCGCTGAAATATTCGCGAAGTTCTATAGTCGCTCAAAGATTCGTGAAGTTCCAAAGTCGCTCAAAGATTCGTGAAGTTCTAAAGTCGCTGAAAGATTCGTGAAGTTCTACAGTTGCTCAGGGATTTGTGAAGTTCTAAAGTCGTTCAAGGATTCGCGAAGTTTTTATGTCGCTCAAGGATTCGCGAAGTTCTAAAGTCGCTCAAGGATTCGTGAAGTTCTAAAGTCGCACAAGGATTCGCGAAGTTCTAAAGTCGCTCAAGGATTCGTGAAGTTCTAAAGTCGCTCAAGGATTCGTGAACTTCTAAAGTCGCTCAAGGATTCGTGAAGTTCTAAAGTCGCTCAAGGATTCGCGAAGTTCTAACGT